GCAGTCGCAAGTCCCACATTTATCGCAGAGCGCGGCGTTCAGTAATGAGGCAGTCTTGAAAGCACCATGCAATTTGTTCCAATGAGCTGCAGGGAGAACTCGCCAATCCCCACGTGCATCAATAGACAAAGAATGTTGCGCGACACACTCTGGTTGGCGGCTCCTGGCAAACCCCTCGTTAGCAGTATCCTTTGCCCCAATGGTGTCTGGAACGCTCCGTTCCGGAAGGGACTCTGGTGCCAAAGCGTTGGAACTTTTATCCGATTGCCCAGCGTGGGCCGCGCATTCACCATCCGCCGGCATGCAACTTGGATACCAATGGGCATACGACGGAGGTGGCATAAACCCCGGCAGTGTTGCTGATAACGCGTTATCGGGAGTAGTCTGAAGCTGGTGAATATTTTTGCCAAAGGGACTCCAATGATAATCCGCCTGCGCTCCCCGACGATGCAGCATGAGATCGTTCAGCCACGGCTTTCGCCGCCGCCAGCACCTGAAGTCTCCGTCGCCGCTTCTGTGGTCTAGTCAATTTGCACGGCGATTCGATGGTAGGTTCTGAACGCGCAAGCGGCTTCGACATCCCCACCGTGAGAAAGCACACTGGCGGGACACGGAAGAACCTAGCACCTTGAGTTTTGAGCCAAAATGGTTACGGCGACCAGGAATAAGGCCCAAACGAAACCTTCACGCGTGCGATGTGCGCACCGCAGGGGACATGCCATTGTGGACGCGTGGGGGATCAGTCCGTTGGCCCGCGCGGGACGTCGCAGAAACGTTTTTTTGCCCGCCTCGCGGCGAGCGACCGCGCTGCCGCCGCTGCCTTTGTCCCTTCCCCCCCTGCCGCCCCGCATTGCTCGCGGAGCCGTTTCCCCATCCCGCGCCCCCGCCGTCCAAGCCTTATGAGGTGGACACGAGGGCGGGCGGGAAGCACACGGGGAAATTGCGGAAAGACTATTGGTAAATTGAGTTTCGGAGGTCGAGCGCATGCGGTTGAACATGTAATAGAAATTGCAAGTGTTCCCAACCATTTTGTGGTGTTGGGTCCCCGTTTTGAAGAGACATCGCCCCGCGTCCTTTCCCGTTGCCCCCCCTCCCTCTCCCCATCATCAGCATCTTCGCCACGATCATCACCCCTCGCATGCTTCGTAGCCCCATAGGGAGCTCCACGCAAGTCCCCACTTGGGGTGGCCACATGCGTCCGCCATACCCAGTACAGCGCTTCGTGGCCCCATAGGGAGCTCCATGCAAGGCCCCAGCGGGGGTGGCCACATGCGTCCGCCACACCCAGTACAGCGCTTCGTGGCCCCATAGGGAGCTCCACAGAAAGACCCCAGTGGCAACGCCCGCATGCGCGTCCACCACGCAGTACAGCATTTCGCGGCTCCATTGATTTGGAGCTGCACCAAGGCCCAGTGGCACCGCACGCATGCGTCCGCCCCACCCGGTACACGTTTTCGTGGCCCCTAGGGAGTTCCAGTGGCCACCGAAGGCCCCAGTGGCAACGCCCGCATGCGTCCCCCCCGCCCGTGGCCCTATAAGGAGCTTCACCGAAGGTCCCAGTGGCACCGCCCGCATGCGTCGGCCACCACCCGGTGCAGCGCTTCGTGGCCCCGTAGGGAGCTCCTCAGAAAGACCCCAGCGGCGTCGCCCGCATGCGTTTCCCCCAACCAGTACAGCGTTTCGTGGCCTCATCGGGAGCTCCAGCGAGGGGCGCCGTCCGCATGCGTCAGCCACACCCAGGACAGCGTTTCGTGGCCCATGGGGAGCCCCACCGAAGGCCCCAGTGGCACCGCCCGCATGCGTCTCCCCCACCCATTACGGCACGTCCCTCACGCGTTTCGTGGCCCCATAGGGAGCTCCACCGAACACGGCACCCACAACGCGTTACTCACAACTGCATATGGTTGGGTCTTTCGCCTGGATAATTTAGATTTGGACGATCGTTGCGCGTTTGGTTCTCGCACCCACTTGTCGACCCTTGCGCGCAGCCGTCCCTGCGCCCGATTTAACCCCGAGGGTTCCACCAGACCTTTGAGCATGCAAACGGCATCTAGGACTGCAGAGTCGAAATAGATCATTTACCAGGACGGAGTCGAGTACCCCGACGAAATTCGGCACCCTAGTGTCGAGCGCTACCAAAGTGTCGACCGCGACGGGGTCGAGATCCAAGTCGCTATCCGCCACTACGGCATCGAACGTTCAAGGGTGCCTAACATGATGGAATCAGGCACCACGTCGTCGCCAGGCATTGTTGCAACGAACGCTACCATGGTGTACGCCAACCGCGGCGAGGTCGATCACCACGCGTCGGTCTTTTGCATTTTGGTATAAAGCACTACCACAGCGTCCCGCGCGAAGGAGTCAAGGCCCACGTCCGAGCGTTACCACGGCGTCCACTACGACGGTCGAGCACCACATCGGGATGGATTCGTGTGGAATGCAGTATTGGTGCGTTTTCCACCAAGACGAAGGCGAAAAACACGACGGTATCCAGCACTAGGGAGTCGAGAACTACCACGGTGCCCACCACAAAGCAGTCGAGCCCATCTACGGAATCGGGTGCCACTGCGTCCACCACTGCGAAGGCGAGCGCCTCTTCGGTATCGTCCACTTCGGAATCGCGTGCTGCCACGGCGTCCACCATAGTGGAGTCGAGCGCCATGTTGGTATCCATGACCACGGAGTCGAGTGCTACCACGGTGTCTACAACAACTCGAGTACGATGGCGGCGTCCAGCACTACGGAGTCGAGCAGGGAGCTCTTGTGGAGCGGCACGAGGATGGGCGGCCCCAGGATTGGTCTGCCTCCCAGAGCGAGCGTGTGCCGGCCGTGTGGGTTGGGGGCTTACGGCCCGTGAGCGTTTACTATGCAGGCACCGACGCTAGCGTTTGCGGCGGCATCGTCGCTAGTGGCCAGCGATTTCGCTTACATCAACCCCAACGCCTACCCCGGCACCAACTCCAGCACCGTCGCGACCGCTTGCGGCGCTTTTAAGCCAGCGTTTACGCCAGCGCGTGCTGCCAGCACTGTCGCCCGCGCCTACGCCGACACCGTCGCCATTGGTTGCGGCGGGGCCGTGGTCGGAGCCTTCGTCCGATTCACCGCCATGCCAGCTCTTGCTCCGGCACCACCGCGAGTGTCAACGCTAGCAGCTACGGCTGTTCCACAGCAGCGGCTCCACCGCGGCGCTTGTATGCCAGCAGATACGCCAGTTCCTGCGGCGACGCCCCCGCCAGAACCAACGCCAGCGCTTACCCCAGTTCTTCTGCTAGTACCGCAGTCAGCGACTGTTTCTGAGTGGTTCGCCTTGCTCCTCTACCATTGGCAATATGAAAACTATTCGCCCTCCTCTCCTGAAGCTGTCCACAAGATATCCCGCCCCTTCAGCTTTTTTTCGCCGGATTTCAAGCATTGATTTTTTTTTTTTTTTTTTTTTTTTTTTTTTTTTTTTTTTTAAAAAAAAAAAAAAAAAAAAAAAAAAAAAAAAAAAAAAAAAAAAAAAAAAAAAAAAAAAAATGTTTTCGGTGCTTCCAGATGACGTTCCCGCTGCAGCGTGCGCGTCATTTGCGGATCGGTGCGCTGTTCCCGTTGTTCAGAATTGCGCTCTCGCCACAGCACGGGCAATTTTCTGGATCCGAGTCTTGCTTCATTGTGGTCCCCCCCATCATTTTTCCTCCTCCACCTTCACCTGTTCCTCATGTTCTTCCCGCTCCTTCCAATCCAATTCCGCCCAACCGCGGGCAATTGTTTTGAATCCGAGTCTTTCTTTATCGTTGTCGCCCCCTCATTTCCCTTCTGCCTTCCCCTGGTCCTCCTTTCCTTCCCGAACCTTCCAATTTCGTTCCTGCTGCTGCTGTTCGTCCTCATCCTTTCCCTCCCGCTCATCCTCCTGCTCACCCGACACCCCCTCCTGTGCACGAAACTCAGTTTTTCTTGATTGCGCGTAACACGAAGTGGCATTTCTGTGTGAATCGCAGGTCGGCTATGACACGCGTTCGCGGGTAGTTCGAAATCAGCGCCATGGGAAGCGATTGGAGGGAGGGATGGGATAGCAGATGATGCGCGAGCGCACCTACCTTGTTTTGGTCGACCGCCTTGACCGAGGACGCTGATGCTGATGATCATAATGATGATGATGCTGATGATGATGATTATGATGATGATGATGATGATGATGATGATGATGATGCTGGGGGTGATGCTGCTGTGGATGATGGTAATGGTGATGATGGTGATGATGATGATGATGCTGGTGATGATGCTGCGAATGATGATGGTGTTGGTGATGCGTATGCAAATCATGCTGAGGAATGCGATGATGCTGAGTTTGATGATGATGCTGGTGATAATGGTGACGATGATGGTGATGACAACGACGTTGATGATGGTTGTCGTGGCGGGGATAAGAAGTTTGATACGAACGGGGATGCGGATGATGTTGATAACGACAATGATGATGGTGATGATGATGATGATGATGATGATGATGATGATGATGGTCATGGTGATGGTGATGGGGTGGTGATGGTGATGGAGATGGTGAGGGTGAGGGTGAGAGTGAAGGTGGTGATGATGATGATGACGATGATGATGACGACGATAATGATGATGATGTTTATGATGATGGTGAGGAGGAGGAGGAGGAGGAGGAGGAGGAGGAGGAGGAGGACTGTGGTCTCTGCTCTTTCGGGCAGGTTGCATCGCCAATATCACGACACGTTCAGTCTATGGATGCCGTATGATGTAATTCAGCGTCGCATTTTGAGTGTGCCAACCGTCGCCCCACTCTCCCCAGTTCCCCCCTTCCCGCGTCCGACCATCCTTCTTGCTCCTTTTCGCTCCTCATGTTCCTCATCGTCTCGTTTCGATCCTCCCCGTTCGCTTCCCCCTTCCTTATCGCTCCTCATTCCTCCCTCTCCTCTCGCCCTCCCCCTCATCCCGTCTAGACCGGCAGCCCGAAGGGGGATGGGCGTTGGGAGGGGAGCTCTCCAGAAAAGCAGGCGTTGGCGACGGCGATCTCCGAGGCGGAGTTGATGCTGCCAGAGAGGATCAGGAGCCCCATGAACGTCAAGGACAGGATGCAGGTTCCTTCTTCGATCATCCTCCATCCCCCTGCTCCTTTTCCCTCTTCCTTGCCATCTCCTCCCTTCTCCTCCTCCGTGTTCCGCTCCCTATCCTCATCCTCCGCCTCCTCATCCTCCTCATCCTCCTCCCCCCTTCTTCGGCGCCCGTCCCCTAAGATCCCACATGCAGGAGGGCTCCCCCTGGAGCAGGAAGGCCAGCGAAGGCCCGCGCTCAGCTGGACGCCAGCCTCCCAGGGAATAGTCCTCCACAGCTTCATCGGGAATCGCAGCAAGTACAATGACGCAGCCAAGGCCTGCGTTGAAGAGGCCAACGTACGACCTGCTCGGGTCGACGGAGCACTGCCTCACGCAGAAGAAGTGCGATGCGGAGGAACAAAGGCCGTACGAGTTTGGCTGACGCTCTTTGCGTTTCTTGGACGGCGGCGACGGCGAGCAGCAAGGCACCAGGACCCACCCAGGTGTGAAGAGTGCACTCCCCTGCCCCTCTGCCGCCCGTGCCACCATGTGTGTATGTTGTACACGCTTGTCTTGTTTTGTGGCATGCACGCTGCCCGCCGCTGTTTTGGCCCTAGTCCTAGGGCCCTGGGACGCACCCGCAGTTGGACTGCCGCGCGGTCTTTGCTGAAAACAACTGCACTGACATTGGTAGCGGAGCTAGTAAGCTCCAGCGGACGCACTGCGTGCTCTGCTTCGGTGGTTGTGACCACCCGCGTGGGCCGCCATGGCCACCAGCCACGACGGCTCAGACGTGGAGGCTGCGTCCTCCGCAGGCACAGGTCCCCCGGACCTGCATGCAGTCCTGCGCGTGATGGCCGAGACCCAGCGGGAGCTCTTGGCCTTGCATCGGGATCGTGGCGACGGCGGTCCCAGACGTACACGTCTACTGCTGTCGCAGGCAGGCCTCCCAGAGTTCGATGGTGGAGTCGGTACGAGTATTAAGAAGTACCGAGAGTGGCGCAAGGAGGTTGAAGTCATCCGCAACTTCAATCAGCTCTCAGACGTGGAGCTGGGCCTGATCATCTACAGTCAAGTGACAGGTCGAGCCAAAGAGCTCATCGAGGTGCTTGACGCGTCGGACCTCCGACGCGAGGAGACGCTCGAGACCATCTTTGCTATCTACGACGACGCCTTCGAGAAGATGGATCACGAGCGCCTCGATCAGGTGCATCAGGATTGGGAGCGAGCGCACCGTCGAGCTGGGCAGCCGATCGTGGATTGGACCACGTACCTGCGCAAGAAGCGCATGGAGTTGCAGCTCGAGGATCCCGCATCAGCGATCAGCGATCGCGCATTGGCAAGCAAGATGCTTCGTGGCGCTGGACTGTCGCAGAAGGAGCGAGCGCAGGTGCTCTTCAACTGCGGCGGCACCTACGACTCGAAGCGGATGGAGGTTGTGCTGAAGGCAGCCTATTCGAAGGTGCACGACACCGAGAAGCGCTCAGTGCTCCCTCGCCGCTCGCCGTTTGCGGCGCAGCGTGAGCACGGGCGCTCCTCTGGGAGTTCGGGCGGTCGCTATCCGCACCCTCCCATGGCTCGTAGGCCATGCGTGCTGCGAGGACGCCCTGGCCAGCACGTGCACGAGGTAGAGAACGGCGAAGACTACGATGAACACCACGGCGACCTCGAGGAGGCGCATCATGACGAAGATGAAGCAGACGACCAGGACGATGGAGACCATGGAGGGGCCGAGGGCACCCTCTTCGAGGACGGCGCTGAGGTCGACGAGGAGCTGGTGTCGGACAACGACGGGCCTGACGACGAGGAGTACGAGGCACCGGAGGATCTTCAGGAAGCGTTCTTGGCCGGCTGGAGGGCCAAGCAGAAGACGGCGGTACAGCGTCAGAAGCGCGGGTTCGTTGCTCCTCGGCAGCGGGGCCCCAAGAAGATCAACGCTAGCGGCTCCTTCCAGGCTGGTCGGAAGCCGACAGACCAGCGCAAGGCTAACAGCCGGTGTGCTGACTGCGATCAGCCTGGCCACTGGCGCGGCGACCCGGAGCGCCCCAAGGTGAAGAGTGGCGAGCGCGAGCCGTACAACAAGATCGGGCCTAAGAATGGCCAGCCAGCGTCGCCCAACCAGCGGACCTCTGTGAAGCCGCCGGCGCCTAGGCAGGTGCATGGACCGATCGTCCACTGGGTTGGCATGGCAGGCAGTGCCGAGGAGCGTCGTGGCCGCGCTCCATGGCGCCGTGCTCCCCAGTCGGTGCCTGCCCAGAGGCATCCAGTGGAGGGTCGAGCGGACGCGCCAGAGCGGATCATTATGCACCCCAGGCCCAAAAGCATGCCTGCGCCGAGCCTACGCCAGGACGCCGACGACGGCCCAGGGGCCGCACAGAGCAGTGATGAACGCGCGCGCGCCCGTGCCAGGCGCGGGGAGGATCAGGAGGACGAGGATGCTGTCGTGCGTTGCCATCGCATTCTGGCCAACACCCACGCAAAGGGGCACAGCGTGGAGTTGGAGTTTCCTGACCTTGCCACGGTCCATCACATCGTGGAGCGCGTGACGAACAAGAAGCCTATCTTCTTCAAGCAAGGCCGCTTCGAGAGCCTCGACTTCGTCCAGGGTCGGCTCGTGCGCCTGCAGCTGACCACATCGAGGCCTTGTACGGCGGCTGAGGTGGATCTCGACGAGATCACGGCAACTATATTCAAGATCGTGATGGGCGGCAATCGCGATACCAAGCCCCGCGACGATCGGCGCGGTGAAGGCGGGAGTCGCGACACCAAGCAGCGTGAAGATCATCATCGAGATCGTCGGGGCGGCCGCCAGCGTGATCGGGGAGCTGTTCTTCGCGAGCCTCGCGCCCCTCCTCCGCCCGAGGCGGAGGCTTCCTCGCGTTCAAGGTCGCGGAGTACACCAGGAGGCCGCGGTGTGAAGAAAGAGAAGCGGAGTCCACTAGAAGACCGCGGTGAGAAGGAAGAAAAGGAAGAAAAGAAAGAGAAGAAGAAGAAGGCGAGGAGCAGCAAAGAAGAGAAGAAAGAGAGGAAGAAGGCAAGAAGCAGCAAGGAGGTGAAGAACGAGGACGAGGCCAGCGAGGACCCTGAGGCCACCGAGGACGACAACGACCAGCGGCGTGAGGATGAGGGGGTGCCGTTCACGCCAGAGGAGATGGACGAGATCTTCTGCAGCTGGTATCCGCGTCAGGATATCTTCAGGGATTACCTGACGCCGCCGGCAACCATCCACTTCATCACTAAGAACGATCGCATCGTGCGCCTCAATCTCTACACGCGCCGCTGCGAGAAGCCAGATTTCTCCCTATCCAGCGGCCCTGCGAGGGCCCATCCCGTATACGTGGTGGAGGCGTCGGCAAAGGGAGCATCGAAGACCAACGAATCCCCAGACGGAGCTGTGCCTGGACTAACGTCTGCCGCTCCGACTGGGGAGGCCGCCGCTGCCCCTAAGGAAGAGGACTGGGTCATGGCAGGGGCCTCCGAGGAAGTGAGAAAGAGCGAGGAAAAGAAGCGACTAGAGGTTTTGCAGCGTGATAAAGCTGAGTTGCTGGATCGCCTCGCGCTGATAGAGAAACAGGAGATGGAGATGCACGCCCGATTGAACCCATGCGAGGTCTACGACGGCCTACAGAAGCGACGTGAGCAGGCACCTCTGCCAGAGCGTGCCCTGCCCACATCTCCTGAGCAGCAGGGAGTCGGAAGCGTGTGGAAGAACATGGAGGCAATACGACGGCGTGTCCACCTTCCAGCGCCTCCAGGAGCCGCGAGCTCAGGTGCCCCTGCCGCTGCGACGGCATCTTCAGCTGCATCTGGAGTCCCGCGTGTAGTCACCGCCTCTGGACGGAGCTACGTCATGAGTGTCGGTGCCACGCAGAGTGACCTGGAGAAGCAGCAGATGCATCGAGCCATGTACGACTCGCAGTTCGACGGCGAGAGGCTGGTTCCAGGCCCGAAGGCGAAGTTCGACCCAGAGCTCATGCAGCAGCAGGCTGAATGTGTTCATCCTGTGGGCGAGTTGAAGTGGCAGTCAAACGGCACCGTGATCTTCGCGAAGTGCAAGAAGTGTTCGCTGAAGTCGGTGATTCATTACACGCTGGAGAAGCCCAAGAAGGATGAAGGGGAACCTTCCAAGAACACCCCAGACGGAGCTGTGCCAGGACTAACGTCTGCCGCCCCGACTGGGGAGGATGTTGCCGTCAAAGGGGGCGCGGACCCCTGGGCAGCAAAGGGCGCAGACCCTTGGGCAGCAAAAGGGGGATCTGCGGCCCACATGGTCACCACCCGAGAGGAGTGCCCCCGCAAGGTGGTAGATGAGCAGTCCGTCATGCTTGTTGTCTTGCCCGCGGGGCTGGCTATGATTGACACGGGCTGCAAGCGGGCTGTCGGTGGACGTCCGTGGCATGTCGAGCTGCAGAAGACTTTGGATGCCATGGGCGTGCCGTACCACAGCATCAATCAGCGCGAGTACTTCAAGTTCGGCCCAGGCGTGCCGCTCTTGTCAGAGCGTGCGTGGTGCTACACAGTCGGCATCAACGGTACGCAGGGCGAAGTTGTGATCTCCGAGGTCGATGCCGAGGTGCCAGGTCTCATCGGCCCTGATGAGATGGCAGAGTGGGACGCAGCAATCAGCTTCAGGAGCGGTACTTTCACGGCGAATGGTGTGACCAAGCCGTTGGTCCCGGCTGCGTCCGGGCATCCGTGCGTGTCATTGCTGGATTTCCCGGCACCGGTCACGAGTGCCTTCCCCGTCGGACAGTCCGAGGAGCAGGACGAGCTCGCAGACGAGATGTTCAGCGGAACTGCGAGTCACGAGGAGAAGGATGAGCGCAGCGTCGCTGAGACCGTCGAGGAGGAGGACTCGCACGATTCTGACAGCAACGACGGCCAGGACGCAGGCGACTCAGAGCTGAGCACATCCCACTATCACACCAGCGACCCAGAGTCCGCGGAGACGGCATCGAGTGACGAGGAGGTTTTCATGGAGAACGCGGACAACGAGGTTTTCATGACGAAAGGTGCTCGCAGGCACGTCCGGAGCAACCTGAAGG